CTTGGTTCTCCTGGCCCAAGGCCCTGCCCTTTCCATCAGCACTGTGCATCTCAGGTTGAGGAGTGGTGAATATCGGTATCCTGGCATTTGTGAGGCAGACCTCATAGACTGTGCCACTGTCCTCAAGAAATGCCGTGACCTTTGACCCAGCCAACGAACTGTCCAAATCTTCTCCATTGAAGTAGTCAGGAAACATAGGGCCACCGTGAGCTAGAATAGGGGTTGGCAAACTATGGCCTATAGGCCATATGTAGGCTGCCACCTGTTTGTGTGAATAAAGCTTTGTTGGCATATAGCCACACCCATTCATTTACATGTTGGCACTGAGTAGTCGTGATGGACTGTAGCCCTTTATAGGAAAAGTTTGCCCACCTCTCAAATAATAACAATAGTTGAATAGTTAATAGGGAACTTTCTGAGGGTACCACACTCAACACTGTACATGAACCATCCCACTGAATCCTCACAGGTACTGCTTTGATATCTGTTTTACAGGTGAGGAAGGTGAGACTGAGGCACAGTTGCTTCCCCAAGACTACAGAGTAGGATGGACCAAGTAACTGGGCACACGCAGACTGAGCAGGGCCTAACCTAACCCCAATTCCCTGTTCCTTGAATAAGCCAGGCTTAACTCATTATAATTGTAATTGCAAATTATGAAAGACAACTACCTTAACATTTGTTTTTTGTTTTGTTTTGCAGCTTCAGTTAATAATTAAGAAAGTTATTGCCCACTTCCATGACTTCTCAGTTCTTTTCTCAGTGGTAAGTAGCATTTTCTTAATTGTCTTTGGAAATTTATATCTGGGTCAGAGATTCTCACGACACCCCACGCCTAGAGAAGTACTCGACAGTCCCTTTCATAAAGTAGTTAGGTCTGATCAACTTAAATATTTATGTCCCAACAACTTAAGCAGCATTTGAAAAAGTAATTGCATTACACATAAACTGAAAGGAAAATATTATTTCTAGCGCATCGTTACTAATGGGGTGCATGCATCTGTTGGGTGTCATACAACTTCTCAAAGCTTAGAATCACAGTGGACCTCCTCATTTCCTTTTCCACACCGATTTTCACAGGGTACCTGCTCCTGCTTTTTATCACACAATTTAATGTTGAGACTATGAAATGCAATGAGCCAGTAGTTGTCTCAGTATCCGACAGAGTTGAGATTTACTATGATTCCCTCAAAAACTTAAAATATCATGTGACATCTCTTCGAGTTTGCTGCAGTGCCCTGGGCAAGTGGGAATCTAGGTTATTGTCTGTACAGTAACATTCTCTGTGCCTTCCCTTAGCTTCTGTCTTCTAGGGTCCATTTATGGATACTCACAGGATTGCAAGTTTTTTTGTTTTTAATAATAGAAGTTAATTTTGTTGGACATGTACACACTCCAAGCACTGTGCTGGCACTTTACATTGCCTCATGTCATTTTCACACCCCCCCGTGGGAGGTAGGAGTTGTTATAATATTACAGTAGTCGCTTATCTATAGGGGATATGTTCCAAGACCCCCAGTAGGTGCCTAAAATGGCAGAGAGTACCAAACTCTATATGTACTATGTTTTTTCCTATACATACATACCTATGATCAAGTTTAGTTTATAAATTAGGCACAGTAAGAGATTGACAACAATAATAATAAAATAGAACGATTATAATAATATGCCGGCATCACTACTCTTGTGAAATATGGGTTACTTAAACACAAGCACTGCAATACCTAGAATTTTCTATTTAATGTTTTTGGATGGTGGTTGATCAAGAAAGCAAAACTGTAGATAAGGGGAAACTACTGTACGTTCACTTTACAGATGAGAAAACTGATGCTGGAAGAGATGGAGTAACTTGCTCAAGGTCACACAGTCACTGACAGCAGGGTCAGACGGCAGAGCCAGGCAGCCAGGTCTCGAGGCCTCTCTCTGAACAGCTCTCCTCTGGCCCTTCTTTCTCTGCTCACTAATACGATTACATAAAAACTGCAGTCTGCCTTGCATTTTGCTACCTAGAAAAGTTTATGGTCCATCTACAGGTTGCCCAGATGGTTTGCCCAAATATTAACTGGTTTCAACACCAGTCCCTGGGGCACATATAAGTTGTTTTGATATTAATAGTAATAGTTTTTGAAAACCCCAGTCAGGTCCTTTCTCTGCTTTTGGGGATCTTTGACAGATGAAACATCTCCTTTTTTGGTCCTCCAAAGAAAAAGTGACCCACAAATTCCTTCCTTCCAGTAACTTATGTCAATTGCATGCAGAGTGCTTACTTTATTTTTAGGAAAAATTTCTGCCATTTCTGGACATGTTCCAAAAAGAGAGTGTGCGGGTGGAGGTTTGCAAATGCATCATGGAAGCCTTTATCAAGTGAGTACCACCTGGTAGAATCACAAGTCTTCTTTCTCAATGCCTTTGTGAAACTCGTTGATAAGAAATCACTTCATGCACTTTGGAGCCTAGTGAAGTGTACGTATTTCACACTGAAAACATCATTGGAAGGAAACCACATTAAAAGTAGCAGTCATGATAAAAGTTTGTAATTAGTGCATACGCAGACAAACTAGCAAGTAATAGC